AGCGGTGTCTGAAGGCGCGGCGCGCAGCGGGGATGGCGCGGAGCTGCGGGCGGCAGCAGCGGCGCCGATGTGGCGATGCCGGGGCGCTCGGGGCGGGCCGGGGCTCGCACGCTCGGATCTGTTTTTCACCGCACACAGGTCCCCCGTGGTGGGGGTGCACCGTTCCCGGAGGCGCTGCAATACCGGGACGATGCGCGGAGCGGAGGGAGCAAGCTCCGGGTCCAACTCCCGAGCCCAAAAATCCGTTTAATATGAAGTCCTCTCATCGAGGACGTATCAGATATTAAACTGATAAGAACAGATACTACACTTGATCTTAGCCAAAAGGCCGAGAAGCGATGCCGACTGTTGACGCGCCCCGCACCCAGCGCCGCTCGCCCCGCTCACACCTCACGGTCACCCCCGCGCCGCCCTCCGGCCCTGCCCCGGCCTCTCGGGGATCTTTTCTCCATCTCTCCCTGCGCTTTTCTCTCGCTCTTTGCGCGATCTGACCCCTAAAATTGGGAAAATCTGCCCAAATTTCTGCTCCCATGATGCACCTGGAGAAGAAGAGCGGTCTCTGATTTGCATGGCCCCACCTCTTTGATCTGCATGGCCCCGCCTTTGGCTCCGCCTCCCACAGCACCCAGGGATTTAAGCTCCGCCCCCGGCCTTTCGCTGATTGGACGCCTGAACTCTTTGATTTGCATAGCCACGCCCCTCCGTACCGTAGTGACGTCATGCCGTATTACCGTAACGGCGGCTGATCACTAATTGTTCCGTGCTTGATTAGCGCAATAAAAATCTCTTAATTTGCATATCAGCGGCCCCGCCCCTCCCCGCGGCTCGGCTGCTGGGGGACAGCGGGGGCCCCTCCTGTGCCTGATGGATTCCGGGGGGACCCAAAACCACTCAAACTTCACCCAAAATTGGGTTTAAATTTCCCAACTTGGCAGTTCTGGGCTCGGGTCCCTCCCCCCGCTGCACCCCGAGGGGCTCCGGTGTTCGCGACCCCCCCGACCCCTCCCCAAATCAAGACAAAGTCGAGGTTTTTAACAAAAATAACGTTTTTTTATTTGAGTTAATCGAACATTCGTGATTCACGAGCTGGAAAAAAACAAAATTCAGATCTTGAGAGTCTTGAAACTTTTTTAAACGGCCCCGAAATCCCTCCATAGCCAAAGACCTTCCCCAAAACTCACACAGAGACCCCAAAATCCCCTCCTGGAGCCCCAAAAACCCCCCAGGGTCCCCCCAGAGCCTCAGGGGGAGCCACTCAGTCACTGGGTTCAGTCTGGGGCGATTTTGCCTCATCCTCGGCTGGGGGAGACCCCAAAAAAATCCCCAAATCCCCTCAGGACACCCCCTACTCACCTGATGGAACTCTCACAGAAACACAAGATCTGAAAAATGAAAATTTAAGAGAAGTCTTGAAGCTTCTTTAAACTCCCCGAAATCCCTGCATAACCAAACACCCTTTTTAAAACTGACAGAGACCCCAAAACCCCCCCAGGACCCCGATTTGTGACCCCAAAAATCCCCCCCAGAGCCTCAGGGGGAACCACTCAGTCACTGGGTTCAGTCTGGGGCGGTTTTGCCTCATCCTCGGCTGGGGGAGACCCCAAAAAAATCCCAAAATCCCCTCAGGACACCCCAAAATCTCTTCCCCAAACCCCCAGACTCACCTGGTTAAACTTTTCTGCAATTCTAGAGCTGAAAAATAAAAATTTTAGGGGTTAAGAGTCTTGAAACTTCTTTGAAGTCCAAGAAATCCCTGCATAACCAAAGACCCGCCCATAAACGAGCACTGAGACCCCAAAATCCCCCCCCCCAAAACCCCCCCAGGGTCCCCCCAAAAGCCTCAGGGGGAACCACTCAGTCACTGGGTTCAGTCTGGGGCGATTTTACCTCATCCTCGGCTGGGGGAGACCCCAAAAACAAAAACCCCAAAATCCCCTCAGGACTCACCTGGGCGCCCCCAACACCTGCAGCACCTGTGGGACAGCAGAGGGGGGAGGGGTGTCAGGATGTCCCCTCCTCCCCAGGACCCCCCCCCGGGGACCCCCACCCCAATTTTTCAGGTGTTCGGGTGTTTTCAGGGGGGTCAAAGTGAGCTAGTNCCCCCCAGAGCCTCAGGGGGAACCACTCAGTCACTGGGTTCAGTCTGGGGCGGTTTTGCCTCATCCTCGGCTGGGGGAGACCCCAAAAAAATCCCAAAATCCCCTCGGGACACCCCAAAATCTCCTCTCCAAACCCCCAGACTCACCTAGTGTAACTTTTCTGCAATTCTAGAGCTGAAAAATAAAAATTTTAGGGGTTAAGAGTCTTGAAACTTCATTGAAGTCCAAGAAATCTCTGCATAACCAAAGACCCTCCCATAAAGTGGCACAGAGACCCCAAAATCCCCCCCCAGGACCCCCAAAATCCCCCCAGGGTCCCCCCAAAAGCCTCAGGGGGAACCACTCAGTCACTGGGTTCAGTCTGGGGCGATTTTGCCTCATCCTCGGCTGGGGGAGACCCCAAAATCCCCTCGGGACCCCCCGGACTCACCTGGGCACCCCCAACACCTGCAGCACCTGTGGGACAGCAGAGGGGGGAGGGGTGTCAGGATGTCCCCTCCTCCCCAGGACCCCCCCCCGGGGACCCCCACCCCAATTTTTCAGGTGTTCGGGTGTTTTCAGGGGGGTCAAAGTGAGCTAGTGACATCATCACCAAAACTGGGGGTCCCGCCACGTGGGATGACGTCATTTGTGACGTCATCGGTTGGGCCACGCCCCCTCGTTTACATACCTGGCTGCAGGTGAGTCCCGGGGCTGGTGGCACCTGCGGAGGGGGGACACGAAGGGGGGGGTCAAGGGGGATTTTTGGGGAATTTGGGGAGCCCGAAATGGGGGAAGGGCCCCCCTGGGTCAGTCCCTGGGTCCTCAACAGCGGCTTCAGCCGAACGAGATTCGTGAGGTCATCACCCCTGGGGGGGCCCCAAAAACCCCCCCAAAACCCCCCCAAATTATCCCTTCGGGGGGGGTCACCCCCGGCTGGGGCTGCAAACCCAGCAAAGAGACCCCAAAACCCCCCCAGGGGGAGAACAGAACTCACCTGGAGCCTTTCCCAGAATCTGCGTGGCCTCAAAATTCAGGAATTGGGACTCACGACCCCCGGGGGGCAGAACTGGATTGAATCCTGGAAAGGAAATAGAGGAGGGGTCAGCAGGGGCCTGGGACACCCCAAAAAATCCCCAAAATTCCAATTCCAGGCCCCCTCAGACCGTCCCCTCTGGGACTGCTCGTCCTCTTTTCCCCCCGAGGGTTCCAGGGGGTTCAACCTTTGCAGGACCTGGGCCCTGCGGGGGGGTCAGACACGTGAGGGTTTCCTCATGGGGGGCCTGGACCCCCAAACCGCACCCCAGGGTCCCCAAACCGCACCCCAGGGACCCCCAGCCCCACCCCAGGGACCCCAAACCCCAACCCAGGGACCCCCAACCCCAACCCAGGGACCCCCAAACCCCAACCCAGGGTCCCCAAACCCCAACCCAGGGACCCCCAACCCCACCCCAGGGACCCCAAACCGCACCCCAGGGACCCCCAAACCGCACCCCAGGGACCCCAGAACTCACCAGGCCCAGCGGGGCTCCCCGGCTCCGGTGGCTGTGGAGGAAATTGGGGGCTCAGGGGGTGCCCAGCCCCCCCTTCTCGGGGGGTGCAGCCCCCTCCCCAAATCCGATCAGGGCTTTGGTAACTCGGAGCTGCCATCGGACGGGTCCTCCAGCCAAGGGTGTCATCGTTTCGGATCGGGGGGGAGGATTTTCGGGGGGATTTGAGGGGGGCACTGACCAGAGGTTGGGTCATTGTGGTCACTTCGGGGTGGTCACCCCAAGGCGGGGCCTCTCCCACCGCTCCACGCTGAAAAACACAAATTATTTGTGCGTGTTTAATTAAATTCCCGTTAATTATTCAGCTGCGGGGGCCCGGCCCGCTGCTCTCAGCAGTCACGTGGCATCAGGGACCCTCAGCCATATGCTTGTCATTGTCACTCGTCACCGAACAGCAAAAAAAAAAAAAGGGAGAGAATCCAAAATCTGCACCCGGGGAGGCGTCACGGAGAGAATTTAAAGAGAAAATCCCGGATTTTCCCCCAGGAAAAAGGGACAGAAGGAGGGGACTCACCTGGGGAGCGGCCACGGGGAACCCACGGCTGAGGAGCCCATGCCTTGAAAACAAGGAAAACAAAAAATTAAAACGGGGATTTAACAACAAAGAAACCCCTCAGAAAGAATTTAAATCCCAGCAGGGTCTAACAGCTCACACGAGGGCCTGGTGTGGATCTGAACCCCCCACACGTGGTTTAAGACCCCAAGAACGATTTAACCTCCCCAATGCGGGTGTGGAATCTCCTCCCGCAGGGATCCGGACCCCGCCGGGGTCAGTGCCACTCAGATTTTATCCAGAAGCTTCTCCACTGACCCATCAGCAAGAGAGAGTTCAGCGTGATCATCCCCGCAGCACTGCTGCCCGGTCTGCGCTAAAATCCAGCTTTTTAAACCCCAAAAAGGCCAGACTCACCTCAGACAGAAGCACCATTTTGCAGGCAAAAACGCTAAAAAAGGAAACAACAAAAAAGGCGTTAGAAAAACAAAAAACGGGAATATAAAGCAGCAAACCCTCAGGACGGGGCAGGACGTGCCCTCAGAGAAATTTGAATTCTTCACCGCGCCATCAGCACAGGTCTGTGAGAAACTCATCCCCGAGCAGCCCCCGGGGAAGGCGCTGAGCCCTCAGGGAAGCACAAAGCGGCTGCACCGTGAGGGGGCACAGAGCCGTGGGGGGCTCAGGCCGCTCCCCATGGGGAAGGGAACGCGGGTATCGAGGCCTCCGCACGCCCCTGGAGCCCCTCAGAGCCCCCCAAGGCACGGCCTGAGGACAGAGAGGGAACCCGAACTCACCTTCCCCGACCGCTGCCGGCACAAAATGGCCGCTGTGCCCCCTCACGGGCGCTTAAATAGAGCGCGGGGCATGCCGGGAAAGGGGGCGGGGCGAGAGGGCGGAGGGAGGAGAAAAAGGCGGGAAAAGGCGCGAGGGGTGTGGGGCGCCCCCTGGCGGGTGAGAGGAAAGCCCTGAAGGGTTTCGGGGATATTTTGGGTCCTCCCGATGGCGTTCGGTAATTTCCGGCACCGCTCGGAAGGGTTCGGAAGGATCAATTAATTTTTTTGGCCGCTTTTCAGCTCCCTCCTCCCCCAGTCGGGTGTTTCCGGCTCTCTCCGCCGCGTTCCTCGGCACCGCTCGGCCATTTCCGTCGCCGTTCGGATCTCTCCGCCCCGCCCCCAGCGCCACTCGGGTATTTCCGACAGCGCTCGGCTCTTTCCGCGGCAAATTATTCCTCACACAGCATCTGTCATTAGCAGACTCCAAATTAACGCTGATTAAGCCCCTCCCACTAATTAACCACGCCGCCAGCTGCTCAGAGAGCCCCATTAACCACTCTAGGCCGGCGTCACCCCCAAACCACTCCGAACCGACTTCGTTTTAAAGTTTAAAAACACAAGAAAAGCGGCGAAAAAAAAGCTCAGAGAGCCCCAAAATGCTGGGAATTGAACCCAAATTCCTTTATTGGGGTTCAGGAGTTGGCGTTGGGACCCTTCTTCTTGCCGAAGGTGGGCACGACGTTGACGAAGCGCCGGTTGTACTGCATGCGCCGCTTGGCCCGCCCCGTCTTCTTCTTCTTCTTCTCCTGCTTGGC